ACTTGTGAATGTATGTGTGCGTATAGATATGTATACGTATCTGTCTGTTTGTATCTGCGTAAATGAATCCATGTGTGTGTGTGTGTGTGCGTGTGTGTACGTGTGTGTGTGTGGTGGCTGTCTAGTCTATTTGCGTGTGTTTCTGCCTGCCCGCTTGCATTTACAGAATTTATGCCTAAGTACGTTTATGTTTATCTGAATGTTTGTACGTGTCGTGTGTGCGTGTGTGTGCGTGTGCGCGCATGACATGACAACGTTTCAATAAGCAATAAAATGAAATATGCGAACCGAAGGGAAGGATGAGAATAAAGTGGATGGGAATAAAGGAATGAATGATGAAATAAGTTTATGGAAGCACGAGATGAACGAATAAATCTAGACATAAAAATTTAACATCAATAAAACTTATTTAGATTATTGATGTATTTCTACCCGAAAGACAGAAACAGAAGAGAGTTGATAGAAGAGAGAAAAAGAGAGATTAAAAGAGGAGAGAGAGAGAAAGGATAAAATAATGAGAAACAAGATAAAGGCAAGAAAAAAAACTGAAAAACAAGAAATATGAACAAGCACACGCGAATAAATGAAAAAAAAGCAGATGGTTATAGACAAACAAACGGACAGATTTCAACGGATAGAAGAAAAGGTACAGACAGATGCAGATGTACAGATAGACTCAGATGTAGAAACAGACATACAGACCCACGCACACACACACGCACGCACACAGGCACGCACGCACTCAAACAAAATCATGCAGACGGATAAATAACGATGTTGATGAATGCTTTTTTAAAGTGTTTAAATGTTAGGGGGGGCAATTTTTTTGTAATTTCTATTTATCAACTGAGTTATGCATAATTGTTTATTTGTTTGTTTTTTTGTATGTATGTATGTTTGTGCGTATGTTTGTTTGTATGTTTGTGTGTTTTTGTTTATTTGTTTGTGTGTTTTTTTATGTATGTTTGTTTGTTTGTTTGTCTGTTTTTGTGTTTGTTGGTTTGTATGTATGTTTGTTTGATTGATTGTCTATTTGTATGTTTGCCCGTTTGTTTGTTGGCTGGTTGTTTGGATGGTTTGTTGGTTGGCTGGTTATATATGCCAGTTCTCATGGAGTTGTGAGGAAGTTGGTAGGGACAAAAATCTTTTGTTGCTACTGTGTAGATGATGATTAATGACGATGGTGTGATGATGTGGTGATGTGACAATGGATAAATAAATGAAGAGATGGATCGATAGATGGATGGATGGATGGATGGATAGATAGAAAAAAAGATAGAGAGAATGAGAGTGACAACGTTGGTGATGAAATAAAAGAGAAAAATGTTGATTGGCAGTTGATGGATGGAAAAAGAAGAATATGGAAAGCTGGAAAGCAAACGCGGTTAATTAACTGATAAGGAGTTATGACAATTTGAGAGGTGATAATGAAATATTGTTAAAAAAACAAAATAATAAATATGAATAGACACACACACGCACGCACGCACGCGCACGCACGCACGCACAAACATAACACATACATAATACACACAAACATACAAACACACAATAAACACACAAAACATATTTATAACCGAAAATGACTAATGCCAGTATCGGTTATTTTATATAAAAAATAAAATCTTTTGATAGCAACAGGTGCTGATACAATAAAAACGCAATAAAAACAACAAAAAATTATAATAATAAGCATTAATAATAATAATAATAATAATAATAATGATAATAAACATTAACAATAATAACTATTTATAACATATTAAACATTGTTATCAAACGACGCTGATGATGATGTAAGAATGATGATGATGATGTAAAAACGATGATGATGATGATGATGATAACAATGATGATGATGACTAAGATGATGGAGAGATTAAATTGACGATGATTAAATAAAAGTTGGACGACAACTGATGGCAGCAATGAGATGAAGATGATGGTCTATTTGATAAAGTGAGTGCAAGAATATTAAAATAAATGAACGATCAAAACAATTACTTGGGTTTAAGATAATTTTGTCTATGGCACGTGCAAATTGTCGTCGTCGTCATCATCATCATCATCATCATCATCATCATCATCACCGATATCATCTACATCATCATCATCTTCCACACCATCATCTTCATCATCATCATCATCATCACCGATATCACTATCATCATAATCATCCACATCATCATCATCATCTTCCACACCATCATTTTCATCATCATCACCATCCACATCATCATCATCATCATCCACATCATCATCACCATCCACATCATTATCAACATTATCTTTTGGATTATCATTTCAACAGAATCATCAGCATATCATCATCATCGTCATCATCGTCATCATCATCGTCATCATCATCATCATTATACCATCATCATCATCATCATCATTATCATCATCATCATCTTTTTCGTCATCATCATCATTTATACCATCACCATCATCATTA